AGCGAGATAACGGTATGACGCGTATGCAATACAAAGTGTACTTAAAATGAGATCGTACGTTTACGAATATAACATGATTTTTTCAACGCCGGTGAGGTGAAAATGATGCTCGCATTGTTTCACATCGTGCACACATCGTTTTGTACGGATTTCGCGATGCGCACGCGATCTTAGCCGCGGTCCGTAGATCACCAATCTTCATCATCGTCTTTCAACGCACATCAGATATTTAACGCTCGAAAGCAAGCGCATTATCATGATAATTAATCCTACAACGTCCTGCACACGTCATTACTCACGATTTCGCGAACGCAGTTCGTCGATTTTTCACGACGGATCACGAATACGGAGAGAGTTTATCCGCCCGATCGGATAATTTTCTGTCAAAAATGCGCAGAAATGGACGTCAAAGATGCGGGAGAAACGCGAAACGGGAAAGCTTACAAGTTACCGATTAACAGTTTTACATAAAATTGCAGTTCAATGTTTTTTTCTGCATGGTGGTGGCTATTAATAATTCTCTTAAAGAGACACCCCGTGGGACTTCTTTGTATTCTCTTTGAGGAAGTCACGAGCGGTGCGTTTTAAAGGTGCATTTCACGGATATCTAGATTATGACATAAATGCGCGAGATTCGTCAAACGATAACATGAAGGAAGAAGCACACTTGTGCGCGCAAATACAAACATCAATTAACGTAAAAAAATTTACTGAGTCTTCGCCTAGGATACGTTTTTTAAATCACTTGTCGACATGGCAATCGACATGGCTATCGTAATAATAGTAATTTTCTGGCCTCACACGTATGATGGCCATCTAGTTGCGGAATCAGTCTTGCGAGACTAATCATATGGTAATAATTTAATATGTTTTTCAATTATGTCGCGCTAAACATTCTCAGTTTTTTAAATCTAATGCCTAAACCATTTATACTAGTGAATCAGCATCACTTATTACGAAAAAAAAAAAAATAGGAGGACGATTCGATCAAGCATCATTAATAAACACGATATCTACGGATTAAAGCCAATAAATTTAGCGCATAAACCTACCTTCGTAATTAATGTTTTCTTAATAACAGCGGAACTACATGTTCAATGCTCGTAAACTTTCTTACATCTTTAATATATAGGTTTTGCCTTCACTCTCGAGATCACTACGTTATTAGATACGTACAAACTTTCTAGCACACAGAAAACCGAGAAGGCAGCATATCTTAGCTATAGAGGAAAACCGACGCTGTTTTAATTTGTTTTTTAGCCTTCTTAGGTTTTATGTCTCAGTGACCTGCTAAACGCACATCGCAATAATAATTATCGACATACATTATATACATATTATTATATCACAAAGTCATAATCGCGACAGAAGATTAAATTTCTTATCGTTGTGATCAATATGATATTTCAGATAAAAGATAGGTCAGATTTTATATTTTTATATAATTATACTTGTGAATATTCTATCGGAGAATCATAAAGTTTATATCAATAATTCAAATAAAGAAGATATTTTTTTATTTAAGTACTAACTATTTTTTTAAGTAAAATAGTATTAACCAAACTAATAATTTAAATTTCGCAATTAAATTGAATTATGCAAATAGCAAAATATGCGATGACAAAAACATGCAAAAAAATTGTGAATAATAATTACTTAGTAATTATACTTTATATTTACGAGAGATAAATTATTCTGTTCGTTTTGCATCGCACTTTGATAACGTGATACGTATTTCTAAGTTAAAATTACAATGAATTATCATTTACTGTGGCAATTGCAATAAAATGACCCTGTAGATGACGGACGCGTGATCATCGAGAGCATTAAGGGGGACACGATATGTTCGCGTCATTACTTTCGCTTATCGTGAATCACGTTCTCACAATGCAATTTAATGCATATTAATCTTGAATGCAAATTACCGCTTAAACATTATCTGCAATAGCTGCAGTCGATATTATTTCTCACGATATATATCCCAGATGAATCTCGTGAAACGTAATCTGTTAAGATATCCGCACATGATAGTGATCTGAAGTGAAAACATGCAAAAAATTTGAATTTTAACATTGACAACGAAATTACATTATTATTTCACAATTAAATAATAATAATTAAATGAAAATATTGTATCTTTTAGATTTATTATTACTTCTCTTATTAGATAATAATTTCATAGTTTTGTAATATCCAGTTAATTTTAAAAGATTAGATTTTGTATAAATAATCCGGAGTATAGAAAAAATGTTTTAATTTTTATAACTTGATAAAACAATCTTTTAATTAAAAAAGAATATGAAGTATATCTTAATTGTATCAACAAATGTGAAAGAGACTGGCTGCTTTATCGGCTACCGTCGTTGAAAGTAGTTAAGAGAAACACCGTTTCTTTTATGAGACTATAAAACACTTGTCCGATACATAAAGTATTCAATTTTCTTCTGTTTAATTTCTTGAACAACGAATAACAACTTATGCAAGAATTTTTAATCTTTAAATAAAAAAATGTCATGTTTTAAATAATGATTCAATCGTACAAAACAGGCTTATTAAACCAATTTAAATTTTAATGCTTAAAAGTTTTATCAACTTTTAAAATTCGAGATGCCTTTAATGAGAAAATTATCTTCTTGATTCTGATTGCATCATTTAATGCTGTGAACATGCGTGGGCAGCTTCAAAGATGAAATGAATATCATACCAAATGTCAAATAACTGGCTTGTGATCCTCTCACTCTAATGCAATTAGGTGATAGGAAATTTCATAACAGAATTACTAACTACGAAGGATGAACATAACGATGGCGAAATTTAAATTATTAGTTTGGTTAATATCATTTTACTTAAAAAAATAGTATCTCCTTTATTTGAATTATTGATATAAATTTTATGATTCCCCGATAGAATATTCACAAGTAATAATTATATACGAAATCTGACCTGATCTTTTATCTGAAATATCATATTGGCCACAACGGTAAGAAATTTAATCTTCTGTCGCGATTAAATGTCAAGTTAAATGTTTACTTAAAATGAAGAAGCTCTTCAATTTACGTGAAAAGAAGAAATCCTTAAACGTGAATATAATTTAAAATCCGTCAAAGTTTTGATATTTAAGCGAGCTACCAGCCTTCTCACGTTACGCTTCGGCGTTCGTGATCTTAAGATCTTTGTGGGGCGCAATATTTTTTAACGAAGGGCAAGTAACGTCGTTTTACGCTCCGCGTAATTGTCTTGGATGGAACGGTTTCGCGAGTCAAGGCGAAAAGAGGTGCGGCGGGACAGATAGAGGAAGCGAAAGGATTACGGTGGGCCTGGAAAACAAACGAAAGGGGAAGTAGACTTCGCGGCAGCGCGCGATCTTTCTCGGCGCGACGGCGCGATGGCGAAGGGGAGAGACTCTTAACTTTCAGCCTCGGCGTCGCGTGCACTAATGGCACGATTGCGTAACCGTTCCCGTACTCGTGGAGACGACGTGGAGCACGTAAGCTGTTGCCTCAAGTCGTGAGTCAAGTGGCAAAGCCACGCGCGCGCGCTCCGGTCGAAGTGGGTCGTGCAGAAATTAATCGCGGATGCATCGACTTCTCCCTCGGCAATGGCACCGCAATGGCGCCAGGGGGGACCTCTGCCAACACTACAAAACGACCGGATTGGGTAATGAAGACCGGAATAACGAGGAATAATCAAAGATCGATTGCTTCGCACGCCCCTTCGAGGCTTTTTCACTTCGTTTCGCCTTCGATGCATCACGACGATTTATTGTAAATCGATACATCGAAATGAAGCGGAAAACGTTTCAGCTTCTCTTTTTTTTTTGCGTCTTGCAAATCAAAATGTTTCGTTAAATTTATTTTCAAGTTAAAAGAGTTTGTATAAATTTTTTATAAAAATATTAGTAAAGATAATGATTGAAATTTGTTAAATCATCATCTCTGCTCGAGTATAATTATTTTATATTTCGTAATCTTTTTGAAAATTTTACGGAGGAAATTTAATCGCAAAGATCATGACATTGGTATTAATTAAAATTGCGGAAGAGGGCGTATACACGTAGATAATATCCTATGTATAATTATATCCGACAACACAAATTTTCATTGAGCTCCTTCAAACTTTGGGAATATTTATTCACCTTGCTTCGTTACAATACTTCAATTCTCTGAATTAAAATGGTAACTTTTCAGCGAGGGAAAATAGAGTAGCATTATGAGAATACAAACTTTCACGAGGGAATTCTCGAGGGAAATTCTGGAAACATAAAATAATGAAGGTCAAAGTAATAAATTTAATTACTTTTAAGTATTGATTTTATCATGTACGTGCATTTTCCTCAAGGTTTCGTGCAAAGATTAGGATATAATTTCCTCTAACGAAAAAGGGCATTAATAAATTTATATGCGTAAAATAATGAGATAATAATGTAAATCATAATACAAAGCAACATATAAATTTATATGCGTAAAATAATAAGATAATAATGTAAATCATAATACAAAGCAACATATAAAGTAATACTGTAATACAAACTTATTTTTTATCAATAATATAATATATAACATATATTTTTGTAAAAAAATTTAGAAATTGTTAATAATGTATAGCAGAAAGTAAAAAATATGTGCAGAGAAAAAAATTTATTTAATAAAGCGATAAAATATACCGATAATTATTTTTTAGAAACTGGTGTTTTTCAATAAAATATCTATAACGAATATTAAAAATATTCTTAAGTTAGAAATTGATCTTTTAAGAAGACATCATGAAATTTCTTTCTAAAGTCTTTCAATATACTGATGATTAAAATCTTTTTACACAACAAACACGATTAAAAATTAAGACGGTGTTGAAAGCCATAGTGAGTTATGATCAAGGTTATGATTTGGCGGAAACTCGTTGGTGGCGGAAATTGGGTCGACACCTTATCATTCAATTTTGTGCTGTCGATAAAATGCAATGACATTTATCAATAACGAACAGAAAAGAGTGATCCAAGATATTTATGAAAAAGTTGATATTAGTCTTAAAATTTTTTCTTTGTAAATAACATTTTTTTGTTTGTCATTTCTTTAAAAAAGTATTATATAACATCATATAATAAAATATAATATATTATATTTATATATTATGTATATATAATATTATATGACGTTATGTAATCTATATGTTTTTATAAAATATTTATAATTTTATTTATATATATAATATTTAGAAAATGTTACAATAAGTATTATGAATCTTATTTACTTTATTTATGTATGCCGCTTTTAATTTTCTCAGTTTATATTCTTTTATTATATTCTTTCATTTGATAATTCATTATCAGTTTATTCTTTCATAATATTCTTTTATTTAATAACCATAAAAAATTCAACTAATGCACGCATTCTTAACGCATGTTTTCATCAATTCTTTATTATCTTTAATATCTTTTTGATAAAAAGAAAATACATGGAAGTTAGAAAAATCAATAGATTGCATGTCAATGCACAATTACTTTACAATAATATTTATTTCATTTTCCGTAAAAAAATACATATACTTTGCTAATATCGGTACAAAAGTAAGACAAGCGAGTTGCTCTCGAGCGAAGATCGCTGAAGACGAGTACATCCCTACTGGTCATTCGTTCTTCCTAACTGGCACACGTCGCCGTGCCGCGTCCTCGTTGCGATCGGATTCGTAGGTACGATGGCCCAGTACGCGATTGTCTACCGGGGATCGTCTCCGATTCCGATCCAGGTACAAAGTGGCGGATATCGTTGCGCCGCACGACAACGTTTCGGATCGGTAACCTTCGTAACTTAAGGTCCTCGCGGCTATCCGTCGTCGTCGCGATGGAGTTTCTTGCACGACGATGATGGAGAACCAGCCGGGAGGCAGTGGCCATTTAGTGATGACCGTAGCCTATATCACCACCCTCGTATCCACCGGCGTAGTAGCCGCCATGTCCATGATGCTCATGATGGATGGGCACAGCCACCGGCACTTTAACCGGGTAAGGTACAGGCTTCTCCACGGGGTAGGGCACAGGCTTCTCGACGTGGACGGGATATGGCCTGTCGACTGGAACCTTGATTGGTACTGGTACGGGCCTCTCAACCGGGTAAGGTACTGGCTTCTCAACTGGATACGGTTGCGGTACTGGTACTTTGACTGCGACTGGCACTGGCTTCTCGATGTGGACGGGGTATGGCCTGTCAACTGGGACCTTCACGGGGTAAGGTACTGGTTTCTCGACTGGGTAAGGCACAGGCTTCTCGATGTGGACGGCGTAGGGCTTGGGAACGGGCACGTGGATAGGACGATCGACTGGGACTCTGACGGGATAGGGTACGAGTTTCTCAACTGGATAGGGTTGGGGTACGTGGACTGGGACCTTGACTGGTACTGGAACTGGCTTCTCGACGGGGTACGGCTGTGGCACTGCTACTTTTACCGGTACGTGAACGGTTTTCTCAACGGGATAAGGCTGCGGGACGTAGACCTTGACCGGAACAGGACGATCGACTGGTACATGCACCGGGTAGGGAACCTTCTTCTCGACTGGGTACGGCTGGGGCACGTGTACGGGCACCTTCACGAGGACCTTGACCGGGTAAGGCACGTGCTTCTCAACTGGGTACGGTTGCGGTACGGGCACTTTGACGGGAACCGGTACGGGCTTCTCCACCGGATAGGGCACGTGCTTCTCCACGGGGTAAGGCACAGCGACGCTCTTGACAAGGGTCACAGTCTTCACGTGATCGTGATGACCGTGATCGATGTATCCTCCGCCGATGTATCCACCATATCCGCCGTATCCACCGCCTATGTCAAGACCAACGTGTCCACCGGATCCAATATCGTATCCGCCATCATAACCGTAACCGTAGCCTAGACCTAGCAGACCACGCTTCTCTTGCTTTTTCTCGGACTTCTCTACCGATTTCTCGACTTTCGCGGTCTCCTCCGACAATACTGTCGTAACCGCGAGGGCGGCAACAGTCACGTAGACCTGGAAAAAATGCAAAATATATAATGTCTCGGTCGACGTAAAATAATATCAGTATTCATTAACATATTCGAGATTAACGTAATATCTGGAGGACTCGCGAAGAACTGGAAAATATTCACGAGATTTCCTTTCTACTAATAACGCAATAACATGCACACATGTCTCTGATATTTTTGCAAAAAACAAGAATTTAATATGAAGATAAATCGTAGATAATATTCTAGATCAATGCAAACAACTATCATTTTCTTTGCTTCAACAAAAATTTATTTTATAATTTAATTTACAGTAGAATTAAACACAGATACATCACCGCACGATATAATAGACATTATCTTAAAACTCTGATAAAGCTCTGATAAAAGAATCCTAATAAAAACTTAGAAATGAATAAAATTAATATATCGCGACCAAACATACATAAGTACGAAGATGATTCAATCACAATATGTAGTAAAGCAAAACTGTTCTGAGAGCCGTTGAGATTAGTAAAATGCAAAACGTCTGTAAAAAAAAAAAATACACTCCTCGACAAACTTGTTCAAGAAATTCCGTGATTTTTCTGACGGATATACCGCGACGAAGACGCGCGCGCTTAATCTCCCTCGAACGATTCACACCCCTGATTAATCCCAAGATTTTTCGACGTCTGTTCGTTCACTTCTCGCAGGTGCCGTTATCTACCCGGGCCTCTTCGTACACGAGGCTTCTCGGACGAGTTTCTCGCGGCTTCCAACAACACGACACCAGGATGAGAAGTATCGACGAGCGAAATCGACTACGGCGATGGACGTACCAGGATTCTCATTTTTGCTCTCGCGATGTTCCGGGTGCGTCCAGGAGTGAACTGGATGCTGATTGCCGTCGTTTCCTGGCCTTTTATACGCGGCACACTTTCGCCTTCGCCACCCGGAGGCCCGTCCGAGGCCCCAAGTCGTATACCCCCACGTTACACCTCTTTGTTCAGCTACGACGACGACGGTCCCACCGTCCCGAGCGACCACCACTCCCCTTTGGGACAGACGCCCCACTCCCCCTCCCCCACAAATGCGCGAGTTGCGAAGAAATGCTCCTCTCCTTCTTCAACAAACGGGTTTCGTTCCTCCTTCGTCCGAATGCTCTTGCTCGCGATGCCTGACTTCTTTTTTCGTCGCATATCTTCGCCGGTACCTTGAGCTGTGCTTTGGTTTCATATGATACTTTCTCTGAGGAACGACGGACATACCGAGCGTTACCGTCGTGGATTCCCCTTAGTGTCGGAAGCTGCCGACGGGACATCGATCGTGTCCGCGTGCCTTCCCAGTTCAGGCAAACATCCAGATTATTCTAGTACGAAACTAGTGAAAACTCGTCCTTTCGCACGTAATGTTCGTCAAGAGTCCAGCCTGAATAAATCACGATCCGTTTGCCGATAAATCTGTCAATCGATACGGATACATTGAGAAAAAACGTGACACGCGTCAATCAAGCCAATTGTCGTAAACTGTCACCGTACTATTGACGCTTACGTCTCGGATGAGAAATTTATACATCAATATAAGTTAAATAAAATTTGGTTGAAAAATAAGTTTTCTCGATTTTGGTGTCCGATGCGTATTATGATATTTCATTCAGTTCTCCATCCCGCGATTATTCCGTTTCAAAATGCGGTTAAATTAGCGTTTAAGCCTTTATTACGTGTCGTAGTAGTGTTCGAAGTAGAAATATCTCGCGACTAGAACGGAAATCGGAAATCAAAACCCTTCCGGGGGATTGAATTGCAATCATTTAAAAGCGCAATTGAGTGCTTCTTACGAAACTTGATAATTTGTTACCACGAATCGTATGCGGTTTGTTGTTTAATATTGATCATGGCAACACTTATATTCCCATTAAGCTTCATTAACATATTTCTCTTTCAACTTTTTTTTAATATCGGTCTAGAGTAAATTACAGATTACTTATATATATGTATATATGCAAGTATACGTAAGACATTGACATACGCCAAGCTAGCTTCTTCGTCAGTAAATTACACTAATTTTTCTACCCTTTCTCTACAATTCCGTGTTTCCTACAAGAAACTGCATAATTCGCATTCCAACGTTACCTCCTCTGTATGCCTTCGACATTGTAAATTGCCCGCTTTCCACCCTGCCACTTCTGAATAACTTACAGTACTATAGTGAACTTCTGGAAACATGGCTACTTTTGTTTTATTAATCCAAATATTATTTCAAACATCCGTGACGAATAATTTCTCAGGTACTCAAGTCTCAACTCATTATGTATTAATTGTTCGTTAAGAAAAAAAAAATAATATTTAACTCCAGAGCCTGTGAAACATAAGAACTTTTATGTAACTGGATAGATAATCCTGAAAACTGGGGTTTCTCGAATTACACACATATATATATATATATATATATATATATATATATATAATTAACTTTACTTTCTTTACTA